ACCTTTCAAAACTGTCACCTTGAGACACTTCTTCCAATAAATGTCTATGAACTTGGCAGGGGGGACAGTCAAAGACTGAGTCACCTTTCAGAAGAAGATGTCCGACACAGAGTCACAGGAGGTGGGGTGACAGGACCTGCCAGAGAACCTAAGCAGTGCAGCACCTCTCCAGAGGAAAACATGGCAGGGAGCACTCAGGTATGCATGAAGCCACCTTGATATGATTATCTGAAGAGATAATGGCAAGTGTACATGACCAAGGTTAAAACCATTTCTAGAAGGACTTGCCAGAGAGCTAGGAATCTATCTTATGATTATTCACTTAGTAGACAGTGAATGTCATTTATTCTTCTAGGCAAGTCCAAAAAGGAACAAGTTGTAATTCAGGAGATTCATCCTCAAGGTGTTGAGAGAAAATCTGAAAAGCTCACAAATACATCAGGCTGGAAGAGAGAGCTGGAGCAGCAGCTGCTGTCTTCCCTGGGAAGATCAAGTCCCTAAGGAGAGGGCTGGAACAGCAAAAAGCTTCCAGGGCCTGTGAAACAGGAAGAAGGGAGGCCTTGCCTGCTCTCTGGCAGAGGGGGACAGTGAGCTCCTCCAGGGTCTGGAGCCTTGTCCTGCAGCCTATCAATTATTGCCAGTGAAGATGAGCATAACCATTCACTGATTTAATTCGGAAAATTGTACTTTAAGTAATTAGCTGAAACATCCATACTCCTGACCGCTTGAGACTCACCATTTATTATTCTCCTCCCAACTCACCAGTGGGGGCGCTCATTAGGCCGAGGAGACACCCACACCTGAAGCCCCATCCAACACCAAACTCTCAAGACACTTCAGAGGGATGGCTTCATGTTAAACCCCAGCTGAACTTAGGGGAAAAGCCAGGGAGACAGCCCTGGCCACACCTGGGCAGACCTGCAGGAACCTCCCTGATACCCAGGCCCCACCTCCCAGCCTCTGCAGCATCTCTTCTCACCAGATGCCTCATGAGCGCCCCCTACACCTGGACACAGAAAATACAGGCACCCTACTCACTCAAACCATATGCTAACCAGCAGCAGTGGAAGCAGCAGACTTGACATTTACTGTGCACTTACTATGCATCAGGCACTGTACTGCTTTTTACTTCTTTCCACTTCACAATGGACTAACTCCTCCAAACAATTCTGTGAGGTCGATACTAGTATTGCCTCCTCTCCACAGATATGGAGCAGAGGTGGGCAGCAGTGATGTTTGGGTGATACAGTACTGAGGTGGGGGGGTCTGGGATTCAAGCAGGGGGGATACAGATGATGGAGACCACTGCTCTGTTATCTCCTTTTATGACCTGAAACGGCACAGCCACAGGCACACAGATATGGAAAAATCAGAAGAGGTCCATGAATGATTCAAGCTGGACAAACGCTACCCTTGGCCAAAGGTCAACAGACTGCCTCAAAGCACATTTAAATTTTATAGGGTGAAGGAAGCAAAATGACACACTGTGCCTTGAAGTCTCAGCCCCAGGAACAAACTTCTGATGCTCCTGCAGTCAGTCTCAGATCCTCTGATGTGACAGAAAAATAAGTCCACATGCTTTTACCCCAATATTCCACCTTGCCAGTGAAATGCTAAAGTCACCCTAAAAGTACTTGGCTTTTATTGTAACAGAAGATAGCTATTAAAATATAGCTCTGAGGGAAGCATCAATAAAACGGGACTTTGGGGAAGAAGATGTTCCTTATGAAGCTGTTCTGTGAGTCACAGAATTCATGTGGCATTGGAGCTGAAAGAAACCTCAGAAGCACCAAGTCCAGGAGAATGAAATGTGAGGCAGAGAAGTCTGATTAACTTATCCTTATGCATGCAGCCTTAATTCCCAGCCCTTCAGTACCAGGCCCTGTGCTAGGCCCTGAGGGAGTAGAGGCCAACAAGCCATGTGCCTGAGAAGTTACATCTTCAGGAAGGGTCTGTCTTGTTCTAATTCACACAAGACACTGCATGAGGTGGTGGCAGCCCTTAGGACACAGTATCAACCAAACTGTACTCTGTGCTTTAGATCTGGGGCCACACACTTGGCTGAATCTGGGCTGGCTACAAACATTTGTCTGGCTTTCATTACTTTGTAAACTAGGAGACTTTGTAAGAAATCTAGATGACCCAGCCATCTTAAAAAGTAAGATCCATCAATCCTGGGCTTGCATTCCTACTTAGAGCAAAGATTAGCTGAAGTTCAGTAGAAGCTGCACTTTGTCGTGCTGGAGATGGAACCCAGAGCCACACACGTGCTAGGAGCCACCCCGGAGCTATATCCCATGCCCTGGCCCAGAAGCTGCCCTTGGTAGGTTGAGCATGTGTTCTCATTTTGCCTCTGTCTTCAGCACTCCCTGCTGTCTCTCAGGCAACACTAGGTTCACTCCTTGGTCTGAGTCTAACCAGGAAGCAAATAACAATGCCATGCAGGAGCTCCCTCAGTCCTCTTAAGCTAGATGGACAAGGCAGGAGTAAAAGAGAGGTCTGCAAAAACAGTGAGATATGTGCTGACAAAAGAATTCTTATACAGTGGCTGAGCTAACACAAGAACCTGGCTTTACCCATTTCTCTGGTCCTGGCCTCTGGTAGTAGGGCCACCAATGGGCACACTGAGACAGCCATTCTAGTCCACAAAACAGGGTCTATCATAGCCCCAGGCAATTGCTGCTGCATGCCATCCACAGTGGTATCAAGGCCCCGTTCAGGATCTAGAAACAGCCCAAGGTACTGGGATTATCTTTACAGCTAAACCCACCAGAAATACCATAGTCTGGAGGCAAGAGAGAAATTGTCTGGTACAGGGTTAACACTATGTAATGGTGTTACATCTTATGTGGTCTAGAATAATGCTTCTAAGTAAACAGAGGGATGCCCACCATTCCCCTTCCCTTCTGTACCTGCAGGAGAGCAGAATGTGTGAAGACCATCCATACCAGCAGCCACCAGGGGCTCTTCCAGGAAGCCATGGAGCCCAACCTCCTAAGAGGTCTTACAACCTATAAAAGAGGAAAGAGTGGGTTTCCAACTAGCTCTGGCCCTGATGCCAGCACCCCACGACTTAAGAAGCACATCGGAGGGAGGGAAGGACCCCGAAGCCCAGACAACTATTGTCTTGGAAAGATTTTTTAGGTGGTGGATAGGCTGCCTACCTGGGACCCGGCAATGTGCAGTCTCTTAGGATGGGTTCCCATCAAGGCTAGGAGGGGCTCAGCTTGCCTCTGTGGGCACCTCACTGTCACATCCCTCCCTCCAGAAGCCAGGACATGTCTGCGCTGGCGGCCTAGAGGCCCAGCAGCCCATTTGTCAGCACCAGGGTGTGGCTACTGGCATGTGACACGGGAAGCCAGCAGAGATCCAAGAGTTAGGGCACCTGCCAGCTGCTGCTCCTTGAGGCAAAAATGAGTCTGAGGCCAACTAACCTAGTCCAGAGAAGCAAGGGACCTGCCTAAGGTCACACAGCAAGAGTGACATTCTAGGACCGGAAAAGAGGCCTTCTCCTGCTAGGTGACACCAGTAGCTCTTTGGGTCCTGATCCCCAGCTCTCAAAGCTGAGTTAAGGACGGGAGGTTTGGAAGGCGAAGCCCCGGGGCTGGCCAGGCACAAGCTCCTAAAAGTAGGCGAGGGCGGACCAGCAGAGCTTAGCAGAGACTCGCTGGGAAATCAGAATGAGCTGAGACTGGAAAAGGCGAGGTCACCCTCCACTCTCGCCTCGCCTCGCCTCGCGGGCGCCTTGGCGGAGCCGGTGTCCGGGGGCGGGTCGGTGGCTTCTCTCCATCTGGAGAAGGCATTAAGGGCCTGGCCTAATGCGATCCGCAAATGTGCTGCTGTTTCCGACCCGAGGCGGCGACTCCGGGCCGAGGGAGGCAGCCAGGACCGGGCTGGGGCCATGCGCCCCGTCAGGCGCTCGCACCCGGGGCGTCCCGCGACTCCCCGCAGCCCCCAGCACTCCACGCCCACCTTCAGGGCGCGCGTCTCCTCCGTCCTGTGCGCCCTGCCGTGGTGACCAGCTGCCCTCGGCCGCTTTCTACCAGACGCTCCCAATTCCAAAAACCCCAAGCCCCGGAGTGTCTCGGAGTCAAGAGCGCGCCTCGACCCGCAGGGAGCCCGAAAGACTCTCCCCAAACGTCTGCAAGTGTCCGACCCTCGGGGACGCCCCGCTATGTAGCCCCGCCTCGCTCGGAGCCCCCAGCCGCTCCGAGAGGCCACGGTTCGGAGCCTCCTCTACTTCCCCGGATCCCCGACCCGCTCACCCACCTGGCGTCCGCACGCGCACGCGGGGCTCCGTGCGCCGGGCGGAGGCGACCCCGTGCGGACCCGGCCCGGCCCGGCCCGACGCCGCCTGCAGCCCGCGGCCGCAGAGTGGAGCCGGC